CATATGTATTCCTTTCAATGATTCTGTGAACACAGTACTGTGGTAATTCACTTTTACATCTGGGGAAACTGAGGTACAGATGATGAAATGACACACCCAGGGTCATATAGCTAATTATCTAGGCAGGTAAGTGACAGAGCCCAAGGTCTTAACCACTCCACCACACTGCCTCTCGAGACCCAATTCACCTGACGTGTCTCTTTGTTGAAGCCAGACAGAACTGTTCATCACCTAGTCAGACAGAGGGATCAGGCTGTCCTGCCAGGGGAATGCCCTGGAGAAATTGTCCTGACTGGGAACAAACCTGGAAGGAATTTTCTTTTCAAGGAAAGAGATGCTTGTTTGGATCTTTGCCTTTTTGCCCTCTTTATATCATTGGCAACCTGATCAAAGTCAAGGCCATCTGAAATTTGAATTAATATTCTGTTTACCCCTTCTTTGAGGTCATTTAATGAAGACTCTGGGCTCAACCCTGAACTTCTCATTGAACCTCCTTGTCCAGAGCCCAGTAGGCTGGCACTATTGATGACATTTTGATCAGCATCACATGTGTCAAATGCATGACTTACAGCAACGTCCATACTTAATGTTTTTTTTTAATGTCCAGTACACTGACTACAAATCCCACTGGTTTTTCTTATTCACATTTTCGGCTAATTTATTCTATCTGCTCTTTATTTTCCCCAGTACTTTTAGTACAGCATTATATTAGTGAAAAGGAAATTGTTATTTGTTATAAATCTAGAATGCTGCTCCTCCTTTCTTTAAAATTCATTTGGAAGAAGGTAACTGAAGCAAATGAACATTGTATTACCTCTTCTGGTATAATTCCATGGAATATTTGTAATCTCAGAGGTGTGAACTGCTATTATTCTAAAATGAAATCTGTTCAGCAGTGTCTTGATTTATGGGTTTGGTAGTGTGGTAAAATGTTTAAATCTGTTGACTGTAGGATCAAACTGCCCAGATTCGCATCCTTGGCTTGTTCTAGGATCGTGTGACATTGGGCAAATTACTTAACAACTCTCAGTCTCAATTTCCTTAGCTGTAGAGAGATGATAATATCCCTGAGAGTAATGTCAAGGATTCCTTGAATCAGCACAGGTTAAAGTATGTAAAACAATGTCTGCCATCTGGAAAGGTGTACATGATGTTAGGTATTGTGTGTGGAGTTTGGCAGTGATGCTTTTCCTTTGGGAAATATGCTTTCTTTGTCACTAAAAGCTATACAACTCTTTTCTTTACAAAAAGAGTTTTGCAATATTTTGCTTTGCTTTTAAGAGTCAAATAGTCATTAAAACGGGATTTTCCTCATGCTATTTTTAAGTTTCTGTTTAACTTAGTGGGAGCTGTTTTATTTGTGGGTAAACATGGGAAGGCTGAGGACAACCCAGTTGGGATGTAGGTGCTCCAAGGCGTAGGGGGCAGCATCTAGCTTGTCCTTCTCCGATCTCAAGAGTGCACAGTGCCATCTGCTGGCAGATCCTGAGAAAAACTACACCGTCCATAATTTTCTGCATGGTTTTTAAATTGCATCCTACATTTGGTTGATATGTAACTAATTCAAATGGAAGCATCTTGAAATTCCCTTAGAAGTACAATGGGCCATTTTATTTTCTTGAGAAAAGGTGAATTGTGACCATGGGTTTTCAAAACTTCACTCTATCCATGTGGTTGGGAATAAAGGATTTGACATTCTTCAGAGGATAGTTCTATGCCATTTTGCTTGATTTGAACAATCTGTCTATGAGTCTGGCAGGGCAACTATGATTACAATTTGACAACAAGAAACTTGAGATGCAGAGTGGTTAGCTAAGCATCCTAAAGTCCCCTGGCTTATTGTGGAAACCCTGGAACCAGAGTCCAGGGCTTTGAACATGTGACCTGTTTTGGCTACTTTTAACCTGTGATAATATAGTAGGAATTTTAAATGATCCTATCCCATAATTGATTTTTTCAGTAAAGCAGCCTGCTATCCAATTAGCCTGGCATGATAGTGACTTTTGTTAAATTATATATCTTTTTTATTCCTGGTGAAAGTTAATTTAACTGTTAAAATGGTGCCCTTTTACTCAGCTTGATACTGTTGCTGTTGGCATTAAAGATTGTTACCATTATACTTTATTGGTACTATGTTGATTTTTAAATTCATTGACTGTAAGAATGTAGTCCTACCTCACTTGTCACAAGGTGCATGCCATTGTTACCACCCTTTCTTCACTTTGTGACTCTAAGGCAGTGATTCTCAGCCTTTCAAATGTTGTGACCTTTAATACAGTTCCTCATGTTGTGGTGACCCCCAACCATAAAGTTCTTTTCATTGCTATTTCATAGCTGTAATTTTGCTACTGTTATGAATCACAATGTAAATATCTGTGTTTTCTGATGCTCATGGGCTATCCCTGTGAAACTGTCATTCAACTCCAAAGGGGTCACAATCCACATGTTGAGAACCATCGTTCTAAGGTTTTTCACTGCGGCTGCTTTCTGTAGCAGTCATGACTATGTCTCCTAACCCCATCATTTCCTCTTCTCCAGAAATTAACCCACTTTTTCTTCAAGATTTGTATCCATCACTTTTGTTTGGTGGCAGCATTACTTTTCCCTTTTGCAAAGAGGACCAAAGGCATTTTATACCTCATTCCCATTCAACTAAGCACAGCCTCCTTCTGTGCCATGCCTCTAATGGGGAACAGCTGCCTTACAAGAAATCTGTTGGAATGTCTGTGAGTCTCTGGATGCGAGTATCAGTGACATATCTGGCTTTTGATTGGTACTTTCATTGGAACTGTAACATTAAGAATGTTTTTTTAACCAGATAATTTATCTTCCAAGTAGGCAGGATGTAATATGGTGTAATGGAAGAATTGACTTGTGACAAAATGGGCCATAGGTATCAGTGCCTTTGTCTAGCATTCAGCTTGCTTTATGTTGGATTGGAAATGACCCCTCTGATAGAAAGGAGTGAATTGAGTTTTATTTTCTGTAGACGTGGTATACAAATTTATTATTTCTTCCCTCTCACGGCTTTTTAGCCTTTGTGGATTTTTCTTTCCACTTCTGTTGATGAGATACCCTTTAAAAGGCCCTGCCCTCAGTGTTGGTCCTAACTCTGAGCATTTTGCCAAAATGAGTCAAGTCTTTAATTCTTCTCACAAGATGATGAGATAGTAATTTTTATATTGCTCATTTGATTGGAGCAGAGAAATGAAGAAATGCTATGCATCAAGGGATTGATCAATGATGATCTGAGACAATTAATGACCAGTGTCTTTAATCACTACATCTCCCCAATCATTCTTTCTATGACACATTTTCTGGGTTCTTTGCTCTCTATTATTCCTTAAATACCATTGTGTTTGTTGCCCACCTCTCTTACATGTCAGCACACAATGAGATTAATTCTTCAGATGTCCTTTAGCCTAGAATGTGACAACCTGGCCACGAGTCCTGTGTAATGTAAGGGTTCACCACTGTTTTATTTTCATCTTAGCTTATATTCTACAGCTCTCAAGCTGGATCTAACCTATGCATATGCATACATGTGTGTACAAAAATGTTTACAAACACTTGAATATATACATGCATTTGTTCACTTAAAGGAACCATAAAACTTTTCTCACTAGATTATGCTTTCCCTTTTTTAGCATGTTCTAGCTTAGACTGACCTTTCATGTCCATCTTGGTAGCTTTGTAAATGGTAAGTTCAATTTGCCTATGCAGCATGCCATCTGTCAGTCTTCATTAAAGGTCTACAATGTTGAAGTTGTTCCATACCGTTATGCTAGAATCTCGAAACATCTAAATAGAGATTTCTTGGCCTGTTTCTTGGTTAGTGTGGCAAGTCAGAGTTTCCTGGTGGAAGAATTTTCTGTATTTTCAGACCTTACTTCTATGGCATTATACTTTTCTCTGCAGCTTTTACATTTTTCTATGCCTACCGTCCAAATGTCCTGGATCTCAAGTGAAATTGTGGTTAGCATCCATCCCTCTCTTAGTTTCTGTTAGAAGTTTAGAGTCTTGTTCTGGGGACTAACTAGTAATTGGAATCTAGCCTGGTAACCCTGCCTTTGTCATTCCTGCTCACATTTGCCAAGTTGGACAGATTTTCTTTACACTCACTTTGCAGTAGCTTAATCAGAAGATATTATTACAGTGTACTTTAGATTCCTGTCTGCCAGTAACTCACTGTGTAGTTTGCTCATTGCTTAAGGTTTACAGGCTTCATCTTCCTCCTCTGAATAAAACCGAGTTGACCTGTGACCTACTATTGCTTTAATTCCAATAGTTGTACTACTAAAGTACACAAAATCATTCAGGGAGATTCTAGGCTAATTTTAAAAGTGAAATAATGAGATGAGACTCAATTAAGCTCCTCAGAGTTGAATCCAGGACAGACATCTCTGATATGTACTTGTACTGTCACTTTGATAATGTATATTCTGAAAAACATCTGTCTTATACTAATTCTGAACAGTCTGAACCCAGCAGCTCTATTCTGGGAGACAGTGAGAAAGCCATCTACTTGCTGACCCACAGATAGTCCACTACAGCTTCTACACAGAAATCCCTCAACCACAATAGCACATGCCTGAGGCTGTCTTTTTTCTTCCATTGTGATGTGGCCACCAATAGGAGGCCAGAAAATCACTAGAGTCATATTCTTGTATTTGCTTTAGGTGAATGTTATGTGTAGACACATGTGAGAATGTGAATCTGCGTGTGTACACGATTTATTTAGTAAGCCTCTTATCATGTCTATATTCATTTTCTCTGTAGTTTACAAAAAAATCAGTAATTAATGTATCTAGGGAGTGCTCCAAAACAAAAGGTAAGTTACTCCAATTTGGAGATCAGCTTCACCTAAATTTAAAAATAATGTAAGTTGACAGTCTGACTAGAGTACTTGTGATTGGCATGGCTGATCTCTTAATGTTACATGTGTCTCTTGAAACCTGCTTCATTGCCTTTATTGTAGCAACTTTCTGTTTTGTCTCCAGGTAAATGAAATCTACCACGATGAGTCCCTTGGAGTGCATATAAATGTGGTCCTGGTGCGAATGATTATGCTTGGTTATGCAAAGGTAAAATGTCTTAAAATGTGTGGGCTGTGATCACTAGAGACTGGGTTAGCCAGTAGAAGATTGAGTTGCATAACTAATCTCAATCTTATATAAACTCATGGTTATACCAAGCTGGGGAGAAGAAATCTAGAATTGCAAGAGATTTCAAAATTAGAGCAACTTTCTTGTTTGTTTGTTTTTTGTTTTTGTTTTTCAAGACAGGGTTTCTCTGTATTGTTTTGGAGGCTGTCATGGAACTCGCTTTGTAGACTAGGCTGGCCTCACAGAGATCCACCTACCTCTGCCTCCCGAATGCTGGGATTAAAGGCGTTAACCACCAATGCCCAGGAAGTAACGTTTTGTTAAAGACAGGTCTCATATAGTCCAGGTTGGCCTCAAACTTCCTATGAGGTCAAGGATGACCGTGAACTCCTGACCCTCTTAATTCTGCTTCCTAAGTGTTGGGACTATAGGAATGCACTAATGTATCCAGTGTATACTCTGCTGAGATTGGATGAAGAATCTCTTGCATGCTAGACCAGCACTCTACCAACTAAGCTACACCCGACCCTCAGTTATCACAATTTTAGGTGACAGAACGAGTAAGTGACCATGAACGGATGGCATTAAGAGTAAAGAAAATCTCCTTAGCCTATTACCATCAGGTTGATGACCTGTATATCCATTCACTGTGTCTATGTGTAGTTTCCATTTATGTGGAAGTTACTCTGAGAGCGTTTGGAATACACAATTGATTTGTTTAAAACAATGTTTCAAGTGGATATATTTAAACATGAAGCACTCTGGTTATTTTTTCAGTTAAGGAAGCTTTAATCCTTTTGAAAACAAAGGTGAATCAAAATGTATACAGTAGCCATTCTTGCCATATAATTAGAAACCTATATATATTGATACTAGATGTGACCATGTCCTTGGAAAGAATTTTGTGTAAAACGATGAGTGCCTCCCATAGTTAATCCCCCTGATTAGGAGATGCTAGTGAACTTTTGCATGTGGGAAACCATAAGCCTCCATATGTTTGCATTTCCTCAAGTATCTATCATCCTCATATCATTATCTATAGACAGATGTCCCTGAGCGTTACCTTCTCTTAAAATCTAACATACTTTGTGTCATTACAGAGGAGCAAACTAACCCCAGCTGGACATCTCAATGACCTTCAGTTGGTTATTAAATCATGTGGTGTATGAATAGCGTATAACAGAGCAAACTAAGTTTATTAAGAATGTAAACATTGGCCAGACGTTGGTGGCACATGCCTTTAATCCCAGCCCTTGGGAGGCAGAGGCAGGCGGACCTCTGTGAGTTCGAGGTCAGCCTGGTTTACAAAGCGAGTTCCAGGACAGGCTCCAAAACAATACAGAGAAACCTTGTCTCATAAAACCAAAAAAAAAAATGTAAACACTGATCATAGCACTTCTGAAATTTAACAAAATGCTGGGCTCTTTAGTCAATTAAGAATTCATTTGGGATTCCAAATTTAATTTCTCTTTCTGTTAAAAATACTCTGGAAAGAAGAAACTCCATGTTCTTAAAGAATGGGCTTTTTAACTCCAAACCACAGTGTGACCTTAACACACACACACACACACACACACACACACACACACACACAATCTATCTACCTAGCTACCAGCTATGTTTATATATCATATCCACTGATAATAAGAGACCAAATCCTGTCATTTCATGGGGTTAAAATGCTATTTTCCCCTCCATGGGGAAGCTAATTTAATTTGACTGTGCCCTGTACACTAATGTTTGACCAGTCTTGCCAAATCTTGAAAGAATTTATTTTCCTCCAACATACTGATTATCTCTGGACTGAAAGAACACACAAAACTCTTTTTTTCAACTATTTTTTATTTAAATTAGAAACATGCATGCTTCAAATGTCAATCCCAGCTACCCGCTTCTCCCTCCACCAGCCCCACCCCAGCCCAATCCCCACATCATTCCCCAGGGAGGGTGAGGCCCTCCTTGGGGGCATCTCCAGAGTCTGTCATTTCATCCAGGACAGGACCCTAGGCCCTTCCCCACGTGTCCAGGCTGAGAGAGCATCCCTCCATGTGGAATGGGCTCCCAAAGTTCATTTGTACGCCATGGTGAACACTAATCTACTACCCAAGGCCCCAGAGATTTCTGAGGCCCCCATCACTGACACTACATTCATGGGGTCTGGATCAGTCCCCTGTTGGTCTCTTACCCGTCAGTCTGGGGTTCAAGAGTTCCCCCTTGTCCAGTCAGCTGTCTTTGTGGGTTTCACCAGCACAGTCTTGACCCCTTTGCTCATCACTCCTCCATTTCTGTCACTGGGTTCCAGGGGGGTCAGTTCAGTGGTTAGCTATGAGTATCTGTCTCTGCTTCCATCAGTCACTGGATGAAGGTTCTAGGATGTCATAAGGTAGTCATCAATCTTATCAGGTAGGGGCTATTAATGTAGTCTCTCCGCTATTACTTAGTTTTACAGTCACACAAAATTCTTAACTTTGACTTTTGTATCTCTGGAAAAAGTCTCATCCAAGAACCTTTCCCAGTGTGTTTGTCTGTAATGTGTGAAATCTAAAATTTGAATAGAATTGATAAATATTTTAGACTTCTAAAACTCTCCAAATGATTAATATCCAGTCACTTCATAGTGGCACATCCTGACTCAAACATCACTATGCATGTGTCCGTGGATTTTCACACAGGTAGCGTGGAACCTCCTCAGTGGGTCCTTACACGTTTTAGAATTTCTGAATCCTTGTTGAAATATTATCCCCAGATCAAAAATCACAAAAAGTATGTTTACCATATTCTTTCCTTTTAGTCCATCAGCCTCATAGAAAGGGGGAACCCATCCAGGAGCCTGGAGAATGTGTGCCGCTGGGCTTGCCAACAGCAAAAACCTGATCCCAACCACGCTGAACACCATGATCATGCCATATTCTTAACCAGGCAAGACTTTGGGCCTGCCGGAATGCAAGGTATTACTGTTGCTTTGTAGAAGAAAAAAAAATCAATGGCCTGGGTTTTCAAAAGAAATCCCAAGTCAAGCAGGTTGTGCAGATGTCCATATCTCCGCCCACTTTCCACTATCCACCAGCCAAGTATACATTTTTCCCTCTATTTCTTCCTGTGACTTTTTGCAGAATCCACAATGTTAAATGCCACTTAAACACCATAATAAATTATGCTTGCCTTTAAAATAATGATTGTACATTTGGGGTATGGAAGGGATGTAGTGTGATTTCCACTAACTGCTCAGAATGAGAAGGGCTCCTGCCAGCAATCTGTCTTCCAAAGTCAGCTTCCATTTAGCTAATAAACGCTGGTGTAGAGCGTGGAGAAGGACCAATGCTTTTCTTTTCCACAGTGGTGGGATTTCTGGCTTCCTCCACTAGAACCAAGATATGAAGGGCCATTTACAGAAAGACAAGGCTGAGATGGTAGCCAGAACAGAATGGTAGCCCCAGGCGGTACTCTCCCAAGAGAATATGGCTTACTGATAACAGAGAAATAATGTTGCCACTGTTTATAGGAACACTGCTATTTTTTCTTTTTGCTAAGCAAATACCCAGTACTAATTACAATGAGCTTTTTGTATATATAATGGAAATAAAAGTGATTGCCATTGTCTACAGGATACGCTCCAGTCACAGGCATGTGTCACCCAGTGAGAAGTTGCACCCTGAATCATGAAGATGGGTTTTCATCTGCTTTTGTTGTAGCCCATGAAACTGGCCATGTGTAAGTTACTGCTGACAGCTAGATAGAAAAACAGGTTTTTTTTCTCTCTGCTTTTCCACTGTCGTTCATACTTTAAGCAAAAATGCATGCCAGTGTGAGTTCTCGTCCTTTGCCAAGAGTGAGGAGCTGCAGAAAGTGAAGGGTTATGAGCTGAGATTCAATGAGTGATTCTGTCTGGTCAAGCAGTTCCATGCCTTTTATGGCTGTAGGCTGAGAAAACCATCTCATTATACTACTCTCAATATCAGTGTCTGTGGTGTCTCCAAGGAAGCTGTGTTGACTTTCAAAAACAAGTCTTTCGCATCATGTGTTGTGAGGAAAGAAAATAAGTCCGAGTCATGGCCTTGAAGTTATTACCCACGAGGTCTCCTTTGTGTTCTAGGTTGGGAATGGAGCATGACGGGCAAGGCAACAGGTGTGGGGATGAGACTGCCATGGGCAGCGTCATGGCGCCCCTGGTACAAGCTGCCTTCCATCGCTACCACTGGTCCAGATGCAGTGGCCAGGAACTGAAGAGATATATCCAGTATGTGCCTCGCTGCATGTCATGCCCTGCTGCATAGGCTGCACACATGATATCAGAGGTGTTAACCCAAAAGTTTCTATAGTGTCATACAATGGAATAAGCCGTGAGCTTAAGTGTAGTTCTGTCTGGGATGGGGTTTCCCTGGGGTAGATTCCTTGTGACTGAGGGTCGGACATGAGCTGAGGATGGAGGGTTCTTGTATGGGTTCCTGCTTTTAACCCTACTCATACCCTGAAAACCTCCTGTGCAGGTGTTAACCCTGCCGCAGTTCATAGAGATTCACTTAGTGACATGAATACAGCTGCCACATCATTCTTATGTCCCAGAGTTGTGCTTGATGAACTTTCCCGGAATTAGTAAAGATGAAAGATGAGTTGAATAAAGCCAAAACCCTTAAAACTATGTTTCTTGGAACCTGCTCTATGAGCTGACAGAACCCCGGAGTATTTGAGCTAGGAGTCCTTTTTCCCTTTAGACCTGATTTCAACAGTGAGAGTTTAAATGTCCTTAATGTTTTCCTCCCTGCAGTTCCTATGACTGTCTCCTTGATGACCCCTTTGAACATGATTGGCCCAAACTCCCAGAACTTCCTGGAATAAATTACTCCATGGATGAGCAATGCCGTTTCGATTTTGGTGTTGGCTACAAAATGTGCACTGCGGTATGTGCCCTGCTGTCAAATTAGATGTCTCGTCTTGAAGTCTGTTTGTGTAGCTCCTTTTGGGTGGGCCTTACACACTCACTGATACAAGTGTGAAAATGTCTATGGTTATCTTGTATTTGCTCTGAGGATTGAGCAGATAGCCTTAATTAATCCTCAAGAGAGACAAGGGGGAAGATAGATCATAGGCTCTCATTATTCTAATTATTACATTATTGCCTCCTCCTCTTTTAACCCTCCAGAAGCTCTCAAATACCCCTCCTTACTTATTCAAGTTTATAGCTTTTTAAATTAAAAGCTATTGTTACAGATGTTTGTGTGTGTGTGCACGTGCGCACACACACAGAACAGATACAAACACATACATATTACAGAAGCAGGGGCAGAAAGATTATAAGTCTTTTGCTTTTAGGGTGAAAGAGCAAGACTGCGGAGGTCTTCGCACCTGGGCAACGGGGAGTGAGCTGGACTGATGGATGCTCTCCAGCTCATGGCCTTCTGTCCCATTCCTCCTCTGCTGTTTCTTTCCTTCAGAGATGTCATTGAGCCTTTCTTTGGCTTGATGGCCGGTGTCCGTATCTTTGTGGCTATAGAAAATGATTAGCCTGATATTCACAGTGAAAAGTGTGTGTGGTGATTCAGCTTAGAGGCTGAGGCAGAAGGATCGTGATTTTGGAGCCACTTAATTTATTCAGGACCAGCCTGGGTTATGAAATGAAACTCTGCTTTGGGTGCTTTTAGTTTATGATTTTACTTTCCAGTAGACACAATGACATGGATGTCAGACAGAGTAGGTCAGATGTGACACTAAACCATGAACTTGAGTACCATGTGTGACAACTCTGGCTTAGTTTTCTCATATCTGAAGTGTGGATGGTGGCAGTATTTGCCTCTTATAGGTTATGTGAAGATTAATGTGATGATGTAGTTAATGTACAAGTGCAATGCAGACCTATTGCACTTGACCTTGCTGCTTCAGCACTCTAGTACAGAGTTTATTTCTTGACATGTTACCACTTTGGCAACCAACTTGAAAATAAAATATACCCTCCCTCCAAAAAAACAAAAAACATGACATGACACGAAGAAAGTATGTATAAAACATGGTTGGCAAACACCCAACTCTCTGAACGTTCTGTCATGGTTTCTTTTTTTTTTTTCTAGTTCCGAACCTTTGACCCATGCAAACAGCTGTGGTGCAGTCATCCCGATAACCCATATTTCTGTAAGACTAAGAAAGGGCCTCCACTCGATGGGACTGAGTGTGCTGCCGGGAAGGTCAGTGTGTCTGCTACTGATTAAGCTTCCACGTGTGCTGCATGGGGGACCTTCCATGGTCTGGCAAATGACACTTATTGCTGGGCTGTTTTCCTTATGGAAAATGTTGTGCCTGTGGTTTCCTTCTAGTAAGGCTCTAAGACAGTATACTACCTTCCATGGCTGCTACCAGAAACTGTCACGATGTTGACAGTTCAAAACACTGGAAATTTGTTCTGTAACAGCTGTCGAGGGCAAGAGTCAGTTATACTGAGGTGGAGTCTGATGTGGACAGGGCTATACTCCCTCCAGAGACTGTAGTAGCAAAGAGTTCCTCTCATCTCCCAGCTTCTAACTATCTTTCTTCCGTATCATGGCCACACTCCTCAGGCCTCTAACGTGGTGGGTGTCAGTATTCCCTCTGCCCCTTTCTTGCAAGGATGGAGTCTCTTTGTGATGTTTCGGGCCTACCTGGGTACCTCAGGACCTTCTACTGAACTTGAAATCCTTAACCAAATCATGCTGCCAAAGAATCATTTACTAAATAAGGTCACCTTTATGGGTCCAGACATTGGGAGTTTTTAATACTGGGAGGACCAGACCGTTTGGCTAACTATGGCCAACAGGAAAGACAGTGGGGACAGCAGATCTCTGGCCCCTGCTAGTGGTGTCTGATTTACTTGCTGGCATGGCATCCCTTGTGAAAGTTGCCCAGAAATAAAGGATTATGAATTTATACCAAAGATTTGGCCTCACTCCTGGAGGAAAGAGGCCCAAAGGTTTTAAATCCGAGATTGTGTAGTTGGGAATGAATACTTAGGAACTGGCTAGATGCCAAGGTGTCCTTCTCTTAGGGGCAGAGAGCCCAAAACAAAGGCATTCTAAGAAGGCAAGCTGAAGAGCCTTGACTAGTCTAGAAATAATATATTGTAGATAGGACCAAATGCTGACAGAAAAGATTAATGCAACTTTTACCTTTTTTAAAAGGTTGATTTCAAGCATACATGAACTGTTCTTATATGAAGTATGTAGTCTAATAAAAACCTGTCATTACAAGTACTTGCATTTTGTCTGACACTGTGACAGCTACACTATATATAGATAGTATCTTGCTTTGGGAAGATTTGGAAAATAACTTTCCAACTAAAATTAAGAGCAATGATGAGTAGAATTATTTTGGCTTATTAAAAAGTTATGGTATAATAGATTTTAACATCCAACTTCCTCATATATAATTATGGCATGTTATATTTAAATGTTTAAAGTTTTTTAAAACTCAGAAATTGAAAATTTTGGAAAGAAAATAATCTATTCCCTTTGAATACCTATATGCTAAATTCTGGGCAGTGTTATAACAGAATTTGTGTGGCATCATGACTGTATTAATCCCACATGTTATCACAGAATCTCTATGGCATCACGACTGTATTACCCTCACTTAGTTCTTGGACACTCATGAATTTTTATATACCTTGATTTTGCTTAACTAAAAGGCAAAAATCATTATTTAACTTAACTATTTCTCAGATTCATAAATTAATATTTTATAAAGATAAAATGCTTTGCATGAAGAAGGGACTTGGTCCTTCCCTGGATGAAATGACAGACTTTGGAGATCCCCCAAGGAGGGCCTCACCCTCCCTGGGGAATGATGTGGGGATTGGGTGGGGGGCTGGGAGGGTTGGTGGACAGACTAGGGAGGAGGGGCGGGAAAGGGAGCTGGGATTGACATGTGAAGCATTCATGTTTCTGATTTAAATAAAGACATATATTGAGGAAAAAAAAGAATAAACAGAGGAAAAAAACAAAAAGATAAAAGTGCTTTGAATGCTGAATACAGTTTTAGCTAAGTTTAGTTAGTTAGTTTTTAAGTTGAGACAAATTTGCAGGCAATTATGTTAAAAGGGCATGTTAGCATCTAAAAACTCTAGGGTGAGCTATGCAGTGAGATGTGAAGCAGAGCAAGAATGGGGTCTGCTGGGCAGGCTGGACACGTGTGTCATTTCAAAACTTATCTGAGTAAATGTTACTTTTCTTGTTAAAATTTGTTTTTATTAATATGTGTATATATGAGTCTGTATATGATATGTATGTATATGTGAGTGAATGTCCAGTATCAGGGTGGTGCCTACAGAGGCCAGAAGAGAGCATATGAATCCCCTGGATTTGGAAATACAGGTGGCTGTGTGAGCTACCTGATGTGGATGCCTGGAACATGACTCAGACCCTCTGCAAGAGAGCAGTGAGGCGCTCTTAACTAGTGAGCCATCTCTCCAGTCTTAAATTATCATCTTAATTTCATTCTAAAATTATGAACTTAAGTTATCCTTCTGATAAGATACCTTTGTGCAGCAAATGCCTATGGAGACTTTGAATCAGTAATAACTGGAGGGAGAATAAAAATTGAAGACCTTCAAATAAATGTTTCTTGAGTGACACTGTCAATGACTTTCGTAATTTATCTTTTCTCATTTTCCCAAGTGGTGCTATAAAGGACACTGCATGTGGAAGAATGCTAATCAACAAAAACAAGATGGCAATTGGGGGTCGTGGACCAAATTTGGCTCCTGTTCCAGGACATGCGGAACTGGTGTTCGTTTTAGAACACGCCAGTGCAATAATCCCGCGTGAGTATAACCTTATACTTCCTGTTGCTTTCTTATAGACCAGGAAGTGATTCTGTGTTCTGCTATTAGTGTTCTTTCCTTTTTTCATCCTGCTTACAAAATAGGGGAAATGAAAAAATATTGGTTCACAATTCATAAGACATCGCCTTCTAGACTAATGTTCCCAAAATAAAAAGTAGTCAGTGATGTGGAAGAGACATGCGAATGAATGGAGAGATGTTTTGAAGAACTTGATGTTTGGAACCACTGGGGAGTTGAGCAGAGAGAGTAGATGTTGTGTGCACTGCAGGCTACGAAGTGTGCATAAAGAAGCAGAGGCCACTGAGTGGAAGAAGGACCCACAATTTCAACCAGATTCCAGAAGACAGATCCAGCTGCTTCAGTGTAAAAGGATGGCGGCAGAGGGCAGGGACTATGAGAAGAAAAGACATCCATTCATTCAGTCAGACAAAATTCATACGAGCCAAGGAAAAGTAACGGAATTATTCAACTATGATACGCTAACTTGTCCAGTTGGGTTTAACCCGTAAGCAGCCCTTTCTCTGTTCTGGGGGAACGATAGCTCTGAGCATGACCTTTATAAAGACGACTGGTGACTGCACACTGCCTTCACAAGAGGAGAGGATGCCAGCATTAGAAGTAACATATACTCAAAAACATGACAGTAAGGGTAATGGGCTCACCACAAGACATGAAATATTCTAAGATCTTTAAGTATGCCACCCCACTGAGTACTTACCACTGGCTTGTTTGGAAAACCATTCCATTTTGCATTTGACATAGGTGGAAATAGAGACACAGGACTATATGGCCAACTTTTCTTTGAGTTGTACCTGCATGTTTTATACAAAGGTAGAAAATATCATTTTCTTGAGTTACATGCGTGCTTCCCATCTTTGTATACTTCTGTAATGAATGAAACACACCATTTGAAAACCGAGTTAGGTTGTGTGTGGGGGCCTTTACGCCTCAGTGGAGAGGGAGGGGTGCATTCAGAGAGTCACTAGACGTTGGAAGCCCGGCATCATTCGGCCTGTGCTGGAGGCTGAGATGCACTGGCTCTTTGCCAGCAGTACTGCATCTGTGAGCCTGCGTGGCTGGGCTACAGCCAGACAGCCTTTGAAACGCTCTCTTTTCTCTAGGCCCATCAATGGTGGTCAGGATTGTCCTGGCATTAATTTTGAGTACCAGCTTTGTAATACAGAAGAATGCCAGAAGCACTTTGAGGACTTCAGGGCCCAGCAGTGCCAACAGCGCAACTCCCACTTTGAATACCAAAACAGCAAACACCATTGGCTGCCTCATGAACATCCTGACGGTGAGTAGATACAGTTCTTTCTCCGGCGTGTAGATGGTCACTTGGCTTTCAGCTTTGCTGACACCAAGACCTTGCACTCTTGAGTTCACAGTGGTAACATAGGAAGAGAAATACTTACAGAGGCAACTCATTCCAGGTTCCTGAGAGTCAGGCTAAAGAATGCCTTTCTCCTGAGAGGTGGGGACTGTGACAGACATGGTATCTGGTAAACAGCCCTGTCGTCACCACCATGAGAAATGACAGTGACATCACCTGATTAAACTAAGATCCTCTACTAAGAAATAACCATTGCAGGGGAAAAATAGTCCATTTACAGCTAAGTTGAGATACAAAAAAAAGATGGCCACTTATTAAAAACAAAGACTATGCAGCCTTTTCTAGTTATTAAAAATACTCTTGGAAATTTTCTAATGTTTGACTTTTTCATTATATTCTACATTAGATAGACTCAAACTGAAATCTCTTATCATATTTCTGTTAGGTGGATTAGTGTGAATATACCACTGAATTTTATTGAGTGCTCTTTTAAAGGAAATGTAAGCATGGATAGGTCAAAGTTGAATACTTTAGAATAAATTCACTATTTTCTAATTTACTTTAGTGAAGTGAGTCACTTAGATTATCAATTAAGTAGATCCTACAAAGGACACTGATATCAGCTGGGTGGTAGGGTGAGACCAAAGACTAAAGCAGTCAGAGTTCAGAATGTTACTGAGGTGAAATTGGCTTTTGAGTCACAGTTTACTAAAAAGCTAATGTAAGTGACATCAAATTTTGCCACTATAACCTACCTGATGTACCTACATCAATAGAACCCCTTATTATCTCAACAGTGGCCCAGTTTAGATGCAATACATTAACCATTCACATTAAAACAAATACTCATGGTGACATGTCCGTACTTTTCATCTACTCCATATTTTATTCATTCAGCGTTTCATTTGCTTTTCAAGAAGCCATACTGAAATGTTATATCTTAAACTATTCTGGTCAGACATCCTATTTTACGAAAACTAATTTAAGCCTGCCTCTTCTGCAGCCAAGAAAAGATGCCACCTTTACTGCCAGTCCAAAGAGACCGGAGATGTTGCTTACATGAAGCAGCTGGTACATGACGGAACACGCTGTTCCTACAAAGACCCATACAGCATATGTGTGCGAGGAGAGTGTGTGGTGAGTTCATACAACTGTCTCCGTAGCATCCATATTACCCTGAAATTCTACCTTTACCATCACTCATAGGCATGCTTGCAGTTATTTTCAACTGATTTGGTGTTTGGTTTGGTTTGATTGTTTGAGAATCTCCCTGAATAGCATTGACTGGCCTGGTACTCATTGTGCAGGCTGGCTTTGAACTCAGAGATTTGCCTGTCTCTGCTTTCTGAGTGCTGGGACTCAAGGCATGTACCACCAGCCACACCCAGCTCTCAGCTCACTCTTATTTATGAGGTAGCGTTGCAATTGCCATCCTATAAAACGAAAGTCTTTATAGTAGGTTAACTAGTTAACTAGTAGGTTAACACTAGTAAAATACTAAAACCAATGCAGTTTCTCTAGATTGGGAACCCAATCTAGAGGCATTAGTTACTTAGAAAAATTATCTGGCCATGTCAAAAGTGTAATTAAAATTGTTCTTGCATCTTGATTCTTCTCAAACCCACTACATTGGCAGTGGAGACACACATCTTTAGTCCCCAGCACTCAGGAGGCAGAGGCAAGGCAGATCTTTATGAGTTTTAGGCCAGCCTGGTCTATAAAGCAAGTTCCAGGACAACCAAGGCTACACAGAGAAACCTTGTCTCAACTCCCCCACGCCTCTCAAAAAAAACACAAAACTCACATCAAACCTACTACATCCTCAAAGTGCTGCCTATGTGCATGGCTATAGTACTTCTACTGAAACATGGATAGCTTTTCAGGGGTTACAATCCCTCTCCCAGCAGCCATCAATTGCTAATAGCTCCTGAGATAAGGGTGGGACTTCATGAGCTCCTCCCCTCACCCATGTGGAATTTTGGCTGCTTTGATCTTGTGTGGTGTTGTACGTGCAGTCACCACCTCTTTGAGTTCATGTGTGTAGCAGCACTGTCATGTCTACCAAGTAATATTTTCCTACAGATATCCCTTACTTCTGGCTCTCAGAATATCTCATCTCCCACAGTGATTCATGAGCCTCGTGGGGCAGGATGTATTATAAATGTCCCATGTTGAGCATGCCACTGCTTCTTTTTCTCTGAATGTTGAGCAATTGGAGGTCTCAGTGCTAATACAAAAGGAAACATCTTAGGGCTGTGAGCTGCATTTATCTACAGGTTATAAAGAGAAGAATTTAGGGGATGTTTTAGTATAGTGCCCATTTAGCAAAATAGTAGTACTAGGTTCTTCCTCTACGGCTTACAATCTAGCCAGTCATAAATTTTTGTTGCAGTTGTTAGTACAAGGCATGAGCTCCATCTCATGGAGTGGACTTTAAATACAATCAGAAAGTGGTTGGTTACTCCCACACATTTGTGCCACTAATGCACCAGTGGGCATGTCTTGTCGGGCAAGTCATTATTAGAGTTCACAGTGGGGTAAGACTGTTGAAGGCTAGAGCTGTGAAAGCTATCTTATAGAGATGAAGCTTCCAGGTGAATGGAGCTTGATTTCTCAGTATTCCGTGATTCATACATACAGTGTCTTCAGCAGTCGGGTCTTCCCATCAAGTTCTGAAGGGTAACCAAGAGATATGGCCACAACCTTTAATGTTTGGAGAGGTCCATAAGACTCTACTGACCAGTATCTTGAAAAGCGGTAGTCCATACCTGACACTGGGCTTTCTGTTTGATAGCCTGTGGTGTCTGAGAGAGGCATTGATTCCCCCATTATGAAGTAACTCCATTTAGTATCCTTTGTTATATGTATGTGTACTACCTTTCAGTTTAGGATACCATATTGAAAAAAACACAGAGTTCTAAGTTTAAATGATTAATACAGAAATTTCCAAATGATTCTAACCTTAGATACTGAATTCTATGCCAGAGTCAAAGTTGTAGGCAACAAAAAAAGTTCTTGTTTCATTTAGTCTTTTTATAATGCAGTTTATTTTTGTTCATATTCAACTGTTACTATAAACTTATCCATATTACCTGGAACAGTGTTCCTAACATCCCTTTCCTTTTCAATTAGCAAAACTGAAGTATGCTACTGTGTTACTATAACAGAATACCATAAACTGGGTAATTTATAAACCAAAAGAAAGTAAAGTATAACATGAAAAATAAAAGACCCAGAGACAGATATTGAAGTTCAAACTTCAAGCTGAAGATCAGAGAAGCAAAGCAGCCAAGCCAAGTAGATCTTACCCAGCTGAAATGGCAATCCTGTCTCCATGAATCCTCAGAGGCAAAATTCTTAATTCCCATCTCTCCTTATATTTCTTTCTCCACCCAGCCATATCCTCCTGTCTCCACCTCCCTAGTGCTGGGATTAAAGGCATGTGATCCCAAGTGCTGGGATCAAAGGCATGAATTCTGTTACTCTTCACTCTTGTGTAGGCCAGGGTGACCTTGAACTCAGAGAGATCCATCTGCCTGTCTCCTAAATTCTGGGATTAAAGGTGTGTGCCACCACTATCTAGCTTCTACAGCTAACTAGTGTGGCTGCCTTTGCTTTCTGATGCTTCAGGCAATCTTTATTAAATCATAAGTAGTATGTCACCACAGAAAAGCTCATGCTAAGTGAGTTTAAATGTTTTGCTGTTTGATTCTGAAGCTGGAAAGCCCAAGGTGTTATGATGGTATCTCTCTGGCATCTTCCTGTTGAGTCTTCAATGCTAGAAGTTATAAGAGAAAGGGAGACTAGGAACTGAGCAGAGGAAGGGGAAGTTACTCTTATGACATCCCTGCTCTCTTAAAACTGTCCCATTTCTAGGACATGAAAAAAAATCCTTCGTGGAAGCAGAGGTCTCATGACCTAATTGTGGAAGCTTTTTGTTTATTTTGTCTTATTGTTTTGAGATAACATCTCACTCTGGTTCCAAACCTACTGTGATCCTCCTGCTTCAGCCTTCCCAGTACTGATATGAGATAGATATATGCCCACACCTGTCTTCCCACATATTATTAGGCCCTAACCTCTCAACACTTTTGAACTTGGCATTAAATTTCCAACATAACCTGCTTGAAACTAGATATAAATGCTAATAATGGAATGTTACTGTCATCATTTTTAATCCCTACAGTGTTTAGTACTAAATGTATGTCCATTCCCTGCCCATTTTTCATATGCAACTTGTAAGTGCAACTTTATGTCATGTACCACATTTACTTGAAAGTCCTGCCCAGTCCAGAAAGCCTTCAGTAGCTACCTATTGACTGTGCAAATCTAAACGAAACCCAATCTTCAGGGTCTTGCCCAGCTTTATCCATGCAGAGCTTTCACAGTTCTTTCCCAGCATGCAACATGAATTTTCTACCAGCTTTCACCTACCTATAGATATTGACCTCTAAACCAACTCTACATGAATGTAAAAATCCATAACTATTCAAACTTTTTCCAATTCTAAAATAATTTCTTACTGTTTTCCTTCAAGGCCATGTGAGAGTCTCTGGTACTTTGGGGAACTTCATTTTGCATCCCAACTCACTTTTAAAAGATAACACTGTTTTAAAGCTTACTACATTACTATGTGCCTTTATGAATATGAGAGCAACATGGAGAAAGCACCATGCTCTTGAGTGGTAGATTTTTCTCCCCAGAATCAACTTACTTCTTTGCTTATAAATCTTGTTTGATGAATAGGACAATAATGCTGGGAAAATACTTCATGAAACAAAGACATTTATATAATTTGTTGCCTAGACTCTGACTCATTTTGTTATTTGATTTCACACTATTTCTCCAAGAACCTAGGGTCTGAGAAATCATGACTACAATGAAAGTCTGGCAGAAGCTTGCTGGTCCTATGCCCATCACTAAAGAAGGGGTTCATCATCATGTGGGATGTTGTTTACTACTTGGCACAATAAAATTAGCTGTGTTTAACATCTTCTTTCCCCAGAAAGTGGGCTGTGATAAAGAAATTGGTTCCAACAAGGTTGACGATAAGTGCGGGGTCTGTGGAGGGGACAATTCCCACTGTCGAACTGTGAAGGGGACATTCACCAGAACACCCAGGAAACTTGGTAAGATGAGTGTCCTCATGAATTAATCACCTTCTGTGCTATTTGACATTTTGAGACATCTCTTAGAATTTCAGGACTTTTTTCAATGAGTATCACAGAAATAAACAGATAAGGAGTGCTGTATTAGTTCTAAGACTTAGAGGGAAAACAACCTGTGCTATATGCTATTTGAATTTAATCAAATGTGTATGGGATTCACAGTTAATTTTGAGTATGTGTGGCACATACTTTATTATCTGGAAATGTAAAATGTTAGAAAACTTTAAACGTAACTTTTAACATGTTCTATCATTTTCACTTATTTTTACTTTAAAGGTGAGCAATTTTATCTTGGAATATTTATAGAGCTAGCATTCATATATAGCATAGTCTTTAACAGCTTTTTAAAGTAAAATAAAGATACATTGTATGAAAAATGCAAAAAAATGAGATATGATGAAAAATTGATCTGAAGTATGATTGCTCATGTGTATGACCCTTTGTGCTCAAACTAAAGCTCCAAAGCGAGCTATCCTCATGCTATAGGTAATATGTAAGAATATTTGTAGTTTTATAAATTATATAAGGATTTCTATACAATCATACAAACATTTTACAGTATTACAAATATTCATATATTTGATGAGGATTTATTAGTAAACTATTTCAGGAAATTTAGCAGTTCAAGGTAAATACAACATGATATTGTCATGAAAATTCTCTTAATATCCTATGGCACTATCAGAAAAATGTCTAATGGGATGAGAGAAGGCACAGAGAAATTTGGTTTGGGGCTGGGAGTGAGGTTAATAACACTCGCTGCTCTTCCAAAGGACCTGGGTTCTGCTCCCAGCACCCATGTGGTGGCTCACATCATCTGTAGCTCCAGTCCCCGGGGATCCAGTGCCCTCTTCTCACCTCTGCAAGCAGTAGGCATGCAAGCGGTGCACAGACACACATGGAAGCAAAACACTCACACACATAAAATAATAAGCGAATCTTCAAAAGAAGAATTTGGTTTACTTTAAGTGATTACAACTAATAGAGGAGCACATTAAAAGTTGTTCTTCATCCACATGGAGCAATCCTCGTTGTCCATTTTTATACACATTCTATACCCTGGATACCCAACTCTGGTGAATTCTGGTATCAGATTTTCTCTGTGCCTTTTTTCAAATATGGTCCCTCGTCCTTAATGTCTTTGCTATTCCTCTATGATAAAATATCAGGGCTTATACTTTGAAATCTATTTGAAAGCAAATAATGCCACTTCTGGCTGGCTATTTGCATTACTTTAACAAATAAAACAGAATTGAAGTGCAAATGTCACACTTTTCTTAGAGTCAAATATAATTTTCTCTTCATGGCTATGAGAGGATGAAATATACTTGCTTTCCTGAAATTACATTTCTTTTTCTATTTGAGGGTGTGGAATAATTGGTTTTATTTTCAGGATGAACTAACGTAAAGAAACCTCTTTCTGTGATAATTTTTCTGGATTTTGTGTAATTTAAGGACATGATACTATTTTTCAGACCATCTGAAAAGTTATGCTAAACAAGAATCAAAGTCCCAGGAACATGTGAAGTGTCCCTTCAGTCACTCAGATTTAAAGTCGTCAAAGATAATCTAGCCTCCATTCTTTTCGTGAATGTCAATCATAATCATGCAATAGACTAATTAACCTTTTCCAACAGGCAAACATTTAAGCAAGAGATGCCATAAGGAACTCAAGTTTCTGGAAAATGAAATCTGCAAGTATTCAACTTCAAATCACCTCCATCATTTTGCATTCATGCCCAGTCTTGCTTTCATTGACTATTAACAGTATATCAGCATTTGCTAACTATTGTAAACGCATTTTGACTTGAAATTTTTAAAGTTTCAGAACATGTTTTATATCTCACCCAATAAAATCTGTATGGCTTATGGGGTAGTCAATGAAACAGCAAGACTTTGATAAACACGAAACCTCCACTAACTAACGGCATTCTATTTAAGGGAAGACGAGAGGCGTGTTCGTTTTACCCAAAGGAGCCCGTAATATTTCTCTTGCTGAGACAAGAGAAACTAAAAATGTACTGGGTAAGTTGTAAGCCACTGCAGAAAGATGGGCATCCATAAACGACCTCACCCCTGGGCATCTTAAGCATGCTGCATTCAGCGGTCGCTTACTCAGGCAAACAGCACAGCCCCTGTGCTGAGATACACCTTAGGTTTAGGTACTGAAACCTCTGATCCTAAATGACTTCTTCATTTACTCAGGATCCTACTAAATATAAGAGTTGGGTAAGTCTACCTGCAGACAAATGTTACTTATACATATACAAATAGCATTTTTTCTGATTCCATCAGTAATTATACATTTCTATCTAGATTTCTTTGGGCATAAATCCTGGATTATATGAGCTAGATGCTCCGTAATATACTAAAAGTTTAGGTTGCATGATTTCCAATATTTGTCTTTATTTGATACAGCATCTTCCTATACAGCAGATATCCAACTCAGTATCCTCCTGCCTCAGCTTCACAGATACTGGGTTCTAGACAGGCATCACCTCGCCTGGATCTGACTCATTTATTGTTACTGGCCATGAGATACAATAGATCTGACTCTCGATTTGTTCTACTATTGATTTATTTTCATGAACAAAATTATAAGTGATCTCTGATATAATTTTAGGGCTTGTGGTAATTTAAGATTTTTCATATAAGAATGTAAAGTTTCAATAATCAATTTAAGGCTATTAATTTATTTTGTAGTTAACTTAGGTTGTTCATTCAGATGATTGAGGCTAGAGCATTTGTAAAAGCAGTACATAATATACACCTGGCATTCAGTTTCTCTCTTTCAAGTATTTCTTTAAAGTGGGATTCTAAATATTAAAACATTTAATCATGGAAGCCTAGCCATTTATAGTGTAATTGGCTTTCATAACAATATGTAAGCAGAAGGAATATCTCAAACTCACCACCTAACAACTTTTATTCAAACTACCACTTAAAATGGCAGTATGGAAGCTAGAACAACTCACAGAGACTCAGGAAAGAATAACTGTTTGCCTGAATTGCTGATGCAACTCATAGGTCAACACTACCTATGAATTTTCCTCCTCCTCGGTGGAAAAAATTCTTTCCCTCATGCGAGATGTCTCAGAGCTGTAGAGTTAATTCCTGAGATGCGCCTTGCAGTTTATGGATGCCCTCTTCTGCATGTAGGAGCTGTGAGGATGCAGTGCTAGACTAATCATAGTGTTGCCTTTCTTTTCTCTGCTTCCTCCAACATTCGCTACACATGCAAAGGGTACCTTAAGATGTTTGATATACCCCCTGGGGCTAGACATGTGTTAGTCCAAGAAGACGAGGCTTCTCCTCATGTTCTTGGTAAGTGTTTCTGTCTGTCAACTCTGCTTTTCCTTGCGCATAAACATGACATGTCAAAGACACTCCACATGGGGTATGTATGTGTACTATACATACTGTATGTGCAGGAATGAGGGTTATATAGAAATTCATTCACTGGATAGATATTATGTGAAGTTTAATCATTTCCCCCAACTATCCTTACACTAGAACAAATATTTAAAAAGGAAACTTCTGGTTTTGGGAGAAAAGGGATTGTTTCATAGCTCCTGGGGAAAGTTTACAAGTTTATATTTATTAATCGTATTTTGCTCTGTATTAAGAGATAATAAAATGGCATGCTATTAAGGGACAGCAATAGAAAAAGTTGTCATTTATTTGTATTTTGAGTGCTCTGCATGCCAGAAGAGGGCATCAGGTCCATTATAGATGATCATGAGCCACCAAGGGGTTGCTGGGGATTGGATCTCAGGACCTCTGGAAGAGCACAGTGCTCTTAATCTCCAGTCCCAAATTTATCATTTTATGTTCAAAATGACTAGTAGATAGTTTTAGATGGATTTTGGAGAGTTTTTTGTAGATTTAAAATTCTTTGGAAAGCCGCCACAGGAGAATTTTGCTATTCCAGTGTTAATTTTTCCTAATATCTGGGAGCTGTCTGTTCTTGATTAGCACAGAGAAGTGCACTTTCATGGTTGGTTATAATTTCCATTCTTTTTCTCTCTTGTGAGAAAACAGAATAGAGTGCCCTGTGAACAGTTTACAAACAACTATCATGATGTCCCTGTTCATCTACTGAAAATTAGACATCATTTGCCAACTCCAGGAAATTTTGTAGCATATTGGTTTTTATTTACATGAGACACTTTAAAAGTCTCTTTATTTTGGAGGTTAAAGAACTGTTCGTAGTTCTTTCACTGGTTTTTAAAATACTTGTTGTTCATCCTAGAATTCAGATTATTCTTGGAATAATTACCTTAAAAAGTTGAGGGAAAAATACAAAGTAAATGGTTTTAACCAAGAAATGTTTCCAGTGAAATTAGAATTATGAAATGTTTTTTCACTTACTGATAGACACCTCCAGGGTGTAAATTTAATCTATTACTGGATCTATTATTTCCCACTGGAGAAGTGTTATACATTACAGTAACAACAGATCTGAAATGAATTAAGGACTCTATCAATGATAAACACACTTTTCTAACAATATCAGTTGCTCAGTAGTTTGGGAGTTTTACTATCATCAGAAAAGTGATGGCCTGGAAATCAGTTCACCTCTTTAGGGTGGCTATCAATATTTACCAATCTAAAGAGATAGTTTGTATCCTTTCTATCCACAGAGACCCAGCTTCCAAGGAAATGTATGGGATGAGTGAGTTATAATCTGTTAATCTCTTTGACAATGTTTCCAAATGCGTATATTTGCAAACATTATTTTTCACCCGTTTAACCATTTTTATCTTACTTAACTCAGTAGGAGTGCTTCTCAATGGTTTAAATGCCTAATGCAGGGAATGGGGAAATAGAACTAACATTCATTTTGACTGCTTAGTGCTAATGAGGCAGAGAACCTATTGGCTTTTATTAGTAAAATGGAGATTTGCTGTGGCTCATCAACACTGCCCTCTGATAAATGTGTGCCCGTTACCCATTTTCTTTTGTTTAGCTATTAAGAACCAAGCCACAGGTCACTACATCTTAAATGGCAAAGGGGAGGAAGCCAAGTCACGGACCTTCATAGATCTTGGTGTCGAGTGGGATTACAACATAGAAGATGACATTGAAACTCTCCACACAGATGGGCCCCTTCATGACCCTGTTATTGTTTTGGTATGTGTCACACAGCATGTATGTAGTTGGTTTTGTTTATAATAATTATAATTTAACTTACCTGAAAACATGCTTAGTTAAAATATGACTGAATATCTCCTTGCCTTTTTTAGTTTTTTTTTTTTTGGTAATTCTATTTATGTCTCCCTGTTCTGTGTGTAACGTTCTCATATAGTTTAGTTGAATAATTTATATTCAGTCATAAAATTACTATTTTTGATGTCCCCTTTAATCCATGATCATTTTACCTTCTGTACATAGAACTTTCTTTGGCTGTTTTTGTGGTATGAACATATTATCAATGAATTTTCTTAGCATCTTTCAAATTTTCCAAAATGCCAATATTTCCCCTCATTCTTGAAAGATACCTGCAAGGAGTGTAAAATTGGGGTATTACAGGTTTTTGTAGTTTTGATTTAGAAATGTCTTTATATTTACTCACTGTTACAAGCATGCTATTTATAACATACAATGAATCTATAATAATCAAGGATTCTATATCAGCATGTTTTTCAAAGTATAAAAGCAGGTGATGTGGTCTGAGAAATGTACCAGAACATTTTACTATAATTCTATCAGAAAATCCAGTCGTATGAAAATCTGTTATTTAGTTACCTATCGGTGTTTGGACAAGGCTGAAGAGTTACTGTAGAGGAGTCATTGTGTTGTATGCTATACTAACAGACTATGTTAAATATTTGGAGAAGTTGTTATTGCCTTTAGGGACCTTTAAGGGTCATCAATGAGGAAGAGCTGGCCACTTGCAGCAGATGCACACATGAGCTTATTTGATGGGCGTTTGTAAATGCTATCACAGCCCTGAGGAGGGGTTTGCCTCACTCAGCAGCCCCTTAGCGTCTGCTCTGAGAACTCTTGTGGGAAGCAGACCTAGCCCATAGGGGGTGCTGTTTCATCATATATATGGAGCAGGTAGCTTCTATGTGATACTGAACAGAATTGAAAAGCCCTAATAAAGCACACAGAATTGCGGAAACAAATAAGCGATAATGTTCAAAACTTGTAAAGAGAAAATCTCCAGAAATTCCCAAAGTGTTGTTTGACCTACACTTAAACAGAATGTGAACACTGTCAAATGTCAGAGCTCTGAAGGAAGGCTTTTGAGCTCTCAGGTGGCAGCTTCCTCTGGGAAAATGTGAAACCAAGGGGTTAAATAATAATAAGCAGTAGACATGACTTCCTCATTGGCAGAACCTCTGTCTGCTAGACCCCCACGATTTATGCTGAGAGTCTCATTTCTAATGAGAACTCTGAATATGGTGTGGCAGCTTTCTGTGGCTACTTTTAAAGGATTTTACATCATTACTTTAGTTAATGTGAGAACTTTGGGTGTCATTGTTCTCTGCTCATATTCACCCCCATTGCCCTTCTTTCCCTCTCTCTACAGCTGGTCCCTTTCTACTCTCGACTGATCTGTTTCCACGTTGCAGATATACACCTGTCCTCAGACTAAACATGCAATGTCTGATTTACTTTCCCCACCAAGTACATATTTCCCCTCTACTTTCATATCATTCATACATACAGTAATTTTCCTACATGTGAGAAATGGCAAGCATGCGTGCAATGCTTGTCTTCCTGAGTCTGGCTTATTTCACTTAGCATGCTCACCACTTTTGTGCATTTTGCTGCAAATGCAAGAGTTCGTTCTTAATGGCTGAATAAAACCCCAATTTCATATATGCTAGTTCCTTTATCTAGTCCTCTAAATTGGTTTCACATTGTGAATAATTCTGCAATAAACATGGGTATGCACGTAGCTCTATAGTATGTTTAGATTCTTTCCAATATATACACAAGTATGGTATAGCTGGGTCATACAGCTCAATATTTTTTGAGAAACCTCTATACTGGCTTCTCCAGTTTACATGGAGACCAGTGGTATAGAAAGTTCCTCTTTTTCCATATCCCCACTAGTATTTGTTATATCTTGGTGATAGTTATTCTGAATTGTATTGATGGACTCTCAATGTAACCATTTTTTTCCATGACTAATTTGGGCAGCTATCTCCCATCCCTAGGCTGTAGCAGGTTGTCCAAGGTGCTTGTCATGAGATTTCCCATTGTTACTATGCCAACAATCAATGGACTCCCACTCAAGGTGACCCCGAGTTGGGAAATGAACTGCTGTTCCATGGGTGACCTTTCACATGGAGGAGTCCCTTTGTCACCAGAATACCCAATTGGGACTGTGGACTTGCGTCTTTATACCAGAACACTCAGTTTAGCTTTTGGATGTACTTCTGCCTCTCATTCCTTGCCAGGGAGCCATAACTAGAGTTCTGTGCCTGTGTTCTGTGTTATTCTGACTGCTCATTCACCCCAACACACAGAGGTAGCTTTGATTTGTCATCTTACCTGAAAAATGAAGGTTTTTCTCTTTATGCTCATTGTTTAGACATTTTACTGGGGTATGCTCAGTGGGTGAGCTCTGTATTGATCATACTTGAAGTTCACTAAGAACTTGACTCTAGGTAGTAAAATGTTTTATACCACATTTGAGTAAATTTCTCATTATATCTTTAAGAGTTCTACTCTATCTGTATTCATGGAATTCATTTTTTAACCAATTTAGTCTTTTGTAATATTTTTAAAACGTGAATAATTTTCACTTGTCTATTTAAAGTCAGATCCTCCAATCTAACCTACACATAGTATCCAGCATTTTCTTCCTGTCAGTTGGTGAACTTCTTTCCTAGAATTTCCATTCAGTGGTGTTCTGCTTGGTTTTGTGTTTCTTTATAAGTCTACTTGGTATACCCAACATGCCCTTTAAATTCTAGGTCTCCAAGTTGTCTGCTTCTGCTGGAAGCTTCTGTTTTCTCCCTGATGGGTCACGGTTCCCTGCTTCTGTTTTCTTTACATAATACACTTGTATGAATGGTTCCTTGGCTTTGGTCCCAAGGCTGTTAAGCTTTGGAATGTTTGAAGTCTCTTGTTCTGCTTCTCCTCAACCTTAGGCTTACACCATGAATCTCTCAAGTGTTTCTGAGCCCTCTTCACTCTGCACAAAGTCCCCCCATGACTCCCAGCCGTAGCTATCCTTGAGTTTCTTCATTCTGCCATCTTGGAATAGTTTCTTGAGAGCACACAGCATCTCCAACTAACAATGCACAGACCAGGCCTCTGGTCAAGACCGAAGCGCTATTGGGCTGCCCTTCCATGCAGCTTTCTCCTTTGCAGGGAACACTGTCATCTGCCATGGTATCTGTCACATTCCACCAGAAATGTTCTCAAGTTTTGTGGAGGTTACAGTTCCATGTCAGGAGGGAATTCAATTGCCCTCATGGCAGGATACAAAAAGGATCTACTTGGACTGAAATGTGTTGTTAAAAAGTTATACTAATCTAAATCAAATTTCTACTATGCTAATTCAAATTTCTTCACTTGGTTTTGTTTTCTCCTTCATGGATGTTGTCTACTGAGATGCCCTTTCAGGTCTGCTGTCCACTGTTAGCCTTGAATTCACTTTGTATTTCACAGGACTTGTCAAGTACACAGATCAGACATATTTCCCACTCTCCAACGTCTTTTCCTTCTCTCGGGTTTACTTAAGTTGCACTCATAAGGTTTTTTTTTTTTAATGGATTACTATCTAGGTGTTATAACATCAAAACATTTATCTTATTTTCAAAAAGTTTTACAAGTTCATTTAGGTTTATGAACTGTAATAAATTTTATATAAACTAAGTTACTTTTGCACATACTTGTCAATATTAGTTCTATTAATACATGAAGAATTCCCTCAAGCACAGTAAGTAGGTAAACAAAAATATAACCCATAGCATCTGTGGATGATGGATCTGAAAGCAGGTTACCTGACCACACGTGGCACAGTGACTCTCATGGGGTAGCTGGTGGCCCTGCCATCACCACCTTGAAGCTTGTCTATCGGGGCTGCTCTTACTCTCTGGCTCAGCCTGCGGCTGCTGAAAAGCCTCAGCATATGATGCCAGGCTTCCCGAGCAGCCGCTGGCAGACTGCCTTCCCTCACCACTTGAGCCTCTCCAGAAGCTGATTAAACACTCACAATACCTGGCACAGAGATCCCCTGGGCTGAGCAGAGAAACTGAGCCAGTGCAACAAAGGCAGAAGTCATGAGCTTTCAAAACTCACTCTTGGACATGTTGAAAATACAACAATGACAAAAAGAAAATCAATGTACTGATTTAAAAGAGAGGGGAATGGCTAACAATCATATTATTAATGGACAATGGGCAGCAAACAAGCAATTCTTAAATTAGGGAAATCTATACTTAAAATGGTATTTTATCTCACCCAATTAGTAGAAGGAATATTATATGTAGTGATAAATAGAATATTTAAAAGTTAAAAGGCACAGAAGTCTTTAGTTTTCCAAGGAAAATCAGAAGTCCCCACAAAGATAAATCAATTCTACTGTGTAAAAATATTCATTGATCAGTATTGTTTATGTTCAGACAAATACACACAATGCTAACATTTTGAAGGAATATCCCAAAATAATAAAAGTTACTTTCTCTTGTTCTATAGAGTTATGAATGGTTTTTATTTTCTGTATCTTTTTCTAAAATGTTTCCCCCACCCTCTCTGGAGAAAACACGGGCATTATAGTAAATCATTTTATTTTAGCGAACTTTAAAATACACTGAAGAGATGGTATAATTTAAGGCGACCCACTTTAAGGTAACATAGAAAATACATTATTTTGATAATGTCAGCATTTACTCGTCAGCATATTTTATATTCAAAGTTTTTCTTTAATATCACACGCTACCACTTGAGTTGATGGGAACAAAACATTCTAAAAACATTTTCCAGTTTTTAAAATATCAATATTCTGAAATGCTTAGCTTTATAGTTAAGTCTCTAGTTGCTTGCATATTAATTGCATCTCTCTCACATATATGTGTATTAGATCATACCTCAGGAGAACGACACACGCTCTAGCCTGACGTATAAGTACATCATCCATGAAGACTCTGTGCCAACCATCAACAGCAACAATGTCATCCAGGAGGAGCTGGATACCTTCGAGTGGGCACTGAAGAGCTGGTCTCAGTGCTCCAAACCCTGCGGTGGAGGTAAAACTGCATACATTTCTTAGTTTATCATTGTATGTCATTATATGTGATAATGTGCTTAATTATTAGTGTATTTTGAGCATACATACACACATACACCCCTTACTCCTGCTGGTCTCTTTCCTCATCCCATCTGATTCTCCTACTTTCATGTCTTGTCTTCTTTTTTTGCATATAACCAGTAAATTTTATGTCGGCATGTATATGAGTCATACAAAAAGCTAATCTTGCTTTTGCTCTAATGATTGTCTCTAATTTGAAGCTACAGTTGGAGAAATACCAAAAAATTTGGTACGTTTCTCAGATTTTGCAAAAGGATTGATTCCACTTAAAACAATGGCAGACCATATATCCCCCTGATCTTTTCTCTCTGGTTCTTTATGACTTGTGTTCATCACAGTCGCCCCTTAATCACTTTTCTCAAAATCTAAAACTGTCTCCAATCCAGTTCACTCTGGTTGCTGCCTCTCTTCTCCATTTTGCTCTCCATGTGTATACATCACTTTTCTATTAGTAAGATGTAATCAATTGCTCTATCTGTACAGTTATGCTGTGTTTCAGAGGCTAGCTGCCGTACCGAATGCTTTGTATATCCATGTGTCAATATTCACAATGGCTCTGTGTTGTCAGTACTATCTCTATTTTGCTGGTGGTGAAAATGAGACACAGGGATGGGAAGTGGTTTTCCAAAACCATAGGATTCAGACCAGATTAGCTGCATGTCATGACTTCTCTCATTTCCCCAGATCAGATCCATGAGATGGGAGGAACTGATGGAAACTGAGGCCCATCATCTATTTGTCCAGTTCTGCACAACAGATTCTCTAGTATTAAGCGGGCAATGACAGAATAGTTGCAATAATCACTATATAATTAAATACTGAATAATTAAGAGAAAAATATTCATAATAGGTAACTCTGAGTAAACCAAATTTTAATTAAAACTCCAGACTGTGTTTCCACTGTGTTTCTGGAAAGGGACTTTTAAGAATGACACTTCTTTCATAGTTGCAAGATAGATGCTGATTTAATTTGGAGTCTCCCTTCTTTTTGTACTCGACATCTCCATGGTCCTCAGGGTTATCATTGACATTTTAATACACCTGGCATCAACCTGCCTCAGCAGGCCTCCTTCACTGTTCTAGAGGAGAAGATTAGTGCAATTCTCTTCTATTTACATACGAATGTTTTTAAGTTAATGGATGTATAGAATTATATTGTCTTCCCAATTAAAATCCTTCAGTCAGCTGACATGTGGCCCTGAAGACATAAAACCATTCTAGTAGTGTTCTTGTGCAAAGTTAATAAGCTGAGCCTCATCAATAGGGACCATTAAACAAAGCATATTGCAATGGCATTGTGCAAAACAACTGGCATGTATATTTTAAGAATAGTAAATGCCATAGAGAGATGGAGTTTGAGAAATTATTCCTTCTGGTGGAAGCTGAGGAGCCTTGAAAGTTAAATGATTCACATGGTAGAGACTGGAAAAGCCTTGCTGGAAAGGAACATGACAAAGACAATAGCAGGTTTCTAATATTGTGTACATATAATATTTTTAAAATAATTTTATACTAATATGAACTGTTTATGAGTGAAGTATCCAGACATCTGAAATTTGGAAAAAAATGCATGTATGGAAAATTGCAGTTTGGACAGTAAATGTGATGATTAATCTAAATCCATATAGACACTTCCTTACGTCTTTTATAGAGGTTATAACATTTTCAATTTGTAAAGGGTTTTTGTTGTCTCTGGGTTTGTTTGTTTTACAAATGTAAAAGTAGTGAATGTTGGGAGACCTTCTTTGGTCAACCACTGCCTATGACCTTCAGGTTCATCGCTCTGTAGATCTGATGCTTTCTTACCTCCTTCCTCTTCATGCATGACATGTTCTGCACCCACCAGAAGCATCTCGCCTGTCCCATGTTCTTTCCTGCATGTGACATGGATGGCATGTCATTTCCTTTAACCAACACGGTTTGAGCTGCATTGCTCTTCTCAAGGAGGTGTTGGTCTGTAAGATTTCCCTGTCGCTTCCCATCAGCTGAGCTAGGGTCTTCTTCCGTGTGTTCCTCTCTGCCCCTGCAGAAAGGTCATCACTGACTTGTGTAAAGGACTATGCTCAGCTTTGATCGCCACAGTGGTTTTCATAACACTACACTGTGAACATTCCATCTTCACTCCAAAGTACACAGGTACTGCTTACAAAGCTTGAGTAGTTACTAAATACTACGTTCTGAGACAATGGGCTTTTTAAGTTTAAATTCATTTACCATTCTCTTTTATATGATAGCACTCAGCAGAGATCCTGGCACAGTATGTGTGCTCAGACATTTTCTAAAGGAACGCATGAGTCTATTTTTAAATGCGTAGCATGAGTAAGTGGCTAAACAGAATGCATGTTCTGTTCCAGGTTTCCAGTACACAAAATACGGATGCCGAAGGAAAAGTGACAATAAGATGGTGCATCGCAGCTTCTGTGAGGTCAATAAGAAGCCGAAACCCATCAGACGCATGTGCAACATTCAGGAATGCACACACCCTCTGTAAGGAATAAATTATGCGTGCCTGCTGCCATAGCTGGGATGAGGGTGTCCTTAAAGCTTTATTTCATTCAAATTTTTACATTTGCCCGTTCAAGTAGTCTTATCACAAGGAGTGTGTAAAGCTCTGGTCCCCTGCTTTCCCCTACATGCCACTTGTGAAATACAGATCTATTTTTAGCTATTTTATTTCTTTTGATATTTGATACGACTTGCTTTCATCTAAGTGTTACCTTCTACCCATTGACTTTTGGGGGAAGTGACAGGTTAAATAGTAAATACTGAGTTTCTTCCAAAAACATCCATTATTTGAAAGCCTCTACAGACCACACTTAACTTTTACTTTCTTGATTTTAACAATATGGACTTCTTTTGCTGATAGTGATATCTGGGGCCGGTTGTCACGTGTATTTCAACAGGTGAGTCATATTGCAAGAGCAGAATATTGAAAACCATTCGAATCTGAACACTAAATACTCAGGTACCCTATTGCTTAACTACGGAGTTCTGCCTTAGCCTGACTCTCACCTTTCTCCTGGAGTTTCCTGGTTTCCTGAGTTAGTTACATCTTATGTCTTGGTTCATCCATCCATTTCAAGAGGTACTAGTTTTTTCAGGAACTTAAACAAAAAGTCTAGCAAATAAAATTTTTATACAGAAGATTTATATTTAGACACTTAGGAAAGACATCAAAGAGATTAAAGTATATGGTTATGAAAAATATATTGCCGCTGCTCTCACCTTTGATCTCTTGAAGATACATGTGTAATATATATGTTTCCCCTGGAATCTCAAAATCTCTGTCCCATTGTTTGGCTGGACTCCAGCATTGCTGTTGAAAAAATTATTGGTCATTTTGATTCTCAATTCTGTAGAACATTCATTTGCTCTTTTTCTAAATTATTTTCTCTCTCCTTTTTTATTTATCTTTGTTTCATGTTGCTCTCAGTTCTCCCCACCAACCTCCCACCCCACTCCCCAGGAAGAGTAAAGGCTACCATAAGGAATTTTCAGAGTCTGTCATATCATCCCGGGCAAAGCCTAGGTCCTCCCCCAAGTGTCTAGGCTGAGAGAGCATCCCCCCATGTGGAATGGGCTCCCCGAGTCTGTCTGTATGCCAGGAATAAATACTGCTCTACTCTCCAAGGTCCCATAGATTTCTGAGGCCTCTTCTCTGACACCCAGGTTCCAGGTGGTGGGGGTATCTGAATCATTCCCATGCTGGCCTCTCATTTATCCATGTGTTCCACCTTATTTAGGTCAGCTGCCTCTGTGGGTTTCGCCAGCCTGATCTTTGTCTTTTTGTGACTGGGTTATCTCACTCAGGATGGTTTCTTCTAGTGCCATCCATTTGTCTGCAAATTTCACAATTCCATTTTTTTTTCTGCTGAGTAGTACCCCATGTGTAGATGTACCACATTTTCTCTATTCACTCTTCAGTTGAAGGGCATCTACGTTGCTTCCAGGTTCTGGCTATTACAAATAATGCTGCTATGAACATAGTTGAGTCGTCGTTTGGGTATATGCTTAAGAATGGAATTGCTGGGTCTTGTGGTAGGCTCATTTTCATTTTCCTGAGAAATCTCCACACTGATCTCCACAGTGGCGGCACAAGTTGGCATTCCCACCATCAGTGGAGTGGAGGAGTATTCCCCTTTCTCCACATCCTCTCCAGCATAAATTGTCATTAGTGGTTTCGATTTTAGCCATTCTGACAGGAATAAGATGGTATCTCAGAGTTGTTTTGATCAGGTCCACTGATAAGTGAAAGTGAGAATGGTGAGACTGTGAGTAAGCTTGATGCTTCATGATAAGAGTGTACAACAGAATTCCTTTTTGTGTGCAAAAGCTATGTGCTGGGCCCATTGTCAGAACATTGTTCCCCCGTAAAGTGCATTCATTCAGAAGACAGGAGGTGCCTAGGCATTGTACTTTGGGGAGGCTCACAGTCTACCTCACTGCTCTCCCTCTTGCTCCCACAGCTGGGCAGCAGAAGAATGGGAGCACTGCAGCAGAAGCTGCGGCAGCTCGGGCTACCAGCTCCGAACCGTGCGCTGTCTCCAGCCACTCCGTGATGGTACCAACCGCTCTGTGCACAGCAAGTACTGCCTGGGGGAGCGTCCTGAGAGCCGCAGGCCCTGCAACAGAGTGCCGTGCCCAGCCCAGTGGAAAACAGGGCCCTGGAATGAGGTGAGTCACTTGTTAGTATGCAGTGTGTGAATAGAGGAACTAGGGAAAATTAATTCTTTAAGACAGCATTTGCAGCTAAGAATGGGTGGCAGGAACAAACCATGTTTAGGTTGTGACATGGAGGCATTGGAGAGGCCCCTGAATCTTCTGAGATCATCACGACTTCTCTCTTCCTACATAAGTTTCAATCCACCCCAGAATGCAGGGCCCTGGTACATTAGTTACCCGCCTCCACATACCCACATTCCTCTCTATCTTCATTCTAGCTGAAAAAGTATATTTTCTGTGTTCCAAATCATGCTTGTTCAAGCCTACTCCTTTCATGTGGCTTGTTCTTCCCTGTCTCTAGTCTAACAGTATTCCACCCCTCCACCAAGGCTCATCCTTGTAGCTCAAATCTCTCCTCTGTCCTTAAAGGACCAGATTAGCTCTAGATTGCTGCTCAGGAAAGAGCACTGTGACTCCCGTCTTAGTCCACTCTTGCCCTCAATCCAACGGCAGTGTGTCTTGCTTCCCCAGTACATAGCCACAGTCAGAGGTCAAATGGTATTTGGTGACTGGCTGACTCATTGTGTTATTGTCTATATTACCACCTATTCTTGACATTTCTAAGTATTCACAATAAGAGGGTTTATAGAAAAATGGAGCATCAAAAACAGGCACAGGAGCAAGGTGGAGATCATGCCCAATAAGTGAGGAACAGGCAAGGACCAGTCTTCCATACATGATAAGATGGAGAATTACTGTTCGTTCCCTTAGAGACCCAGAACTAAGCTTCTCCCAGCCCTACCTAACTCAACAGTACAGAAGTTTCTCAGCTTAATTTGGAATACTTTTCAGTAAATAAGAAAAATAAAGGAGTTTGGGGCTGTATAATAAGCCCCGACGAGGGAGCCAGTGTATGATCCAAGGGTTGTCTGGTCTCAGGGGCCTTGTGCAGCACCTCTTCTGTAGCCAGGGAACTCCAGAGTTGTCGAGTGGGGTGTTTCTGTGTGTGTGTGTGTGTGTGTGTGTGTGTGTGTGTGTGTTGCAGGGAGATCCCCATCAGCATGCATGTGCCTGGTCTCGGGAGAATCAACACCTGTAATTTCAGCCATTGTCTCTGTAGTGTTCAGTGACCTGCGGAGAGGGGACAGAGGTGAGACAGGTTCTCTGTAGGACTGGAGACCACTGTGATGGTGAAAAGCCCGAGTCCATCAGACCCTGTCAGCTGCCTCCCTGTAATGGTAAGTATATCACTAACCTTACCGTTATGATGTTGCTAAACCTTAGAGAGCAGAATTTCCTTTTAGCATAAGGCCTGGAATATGCATTTGCCTACCAAGAATTAGTCAAATGAAAAAAACCTTTGGAAATAATAGTCTGAGAATATTGTTTGACATAAGGCCAGCATCACTGAATTACCAAAACCAGTATATTGGTGATATTGGATGTGGCCATATCATCCTTGTGTGTCTCCTTTTGATGTGGGGTTTCTGTTGGGAACTATACATTTTTCATATATCCTTTACCTTTATAATGATAGGGAATTATGGGAATTATGGTTAGAATTATTACAGCAGGCTTTAAGACACTTTACTAAAATTATTTAGATATACAGAACTCAACCTTAACACCCTTCCTAATAATTGTCCATACATATAGTGATTCCAAAATAGACATCTTGCACATATGCTAAAGTCAAGTATTTGGCTGAGTGACCAACTAGTTGTGTTTTGAAAGTGAAATATGTTACATTTAAATGTGAGCTGGGGAGGTGACTCAGTTGGGTAACACGCTGCTGAACAAGCATGATGGCTTGAGTTCAGGCCCCCCACACTCATGAATGGCAGCCCACACCTGTAATCAAAACTCTGGAGAAGCAGGAATCCTATTTCAGGTACATAGTAATAAGAAAGATACCTGATACCTATCTCATCTGTTTACTACTGTGCCTTCATTTCTCTCTGCCCCCATTTGTACATACTCTGTTAAACCTCAAAACTAAAAAGATTTTCCCCTCGGCATCTACTCCCATAAGTATTATTAAAATCTGGTCATCTCCCTTTAAATAAGAAAATTGACAAAGCATTATTTCTTCAAATAATTTTGTATTTTGGACATTTTATGCTCCCATCTTTAAACATTAAAAAAAGTCATTTGGAATGGCAAGAACCAGAGACATAGGACTCATCTATTTGGCTGTTTCTTTTGGGTAGTGTTTTCTATCTAGAAACTGGCAGGGAAGGGATGAGAAAGTAAACCATACCCAATTAGAAGCTCTAAAACTTACATTTGCTGTAATAATTTTCCCATGTGTAGTTTATTACTGTTGAGACTGAACACTTTCCAAGTAAACCTTATTGATTTTTCTAGCTACAAGGGCCCTGTGCTTGTATAGACAGCTGACCACCAGCATAGACTTACTTGCTCCTCTCTTGTGGTAGTGGATGGAGGTATTGTAAAGTCAATGTGCTGAGGAGACAGCATAACCGTGGTAGCTAGTGTGTCCCTGATCCTTTCCAGAGCCTTAGTGCTCTGAGTTCTAGGTCTGTAGCCAATTTTGAGGATTCTATGTTATTTCAGTCAAACCAGTAAGAGGCCACCCTCATTCTCAATCAACTGTCCCTATCTGGTGACTTTGGGGTCTGGTATAAATCTCTTTGCCCAGAGTTCCTATGACCTAACAGTAGTGTATGAGAAGGCTGGAAAGTTTCCTTTACTTTAATGATTGGTTTTGTTGTCTGATTAGAATTCTTATTTGCATTTAAGCCTTCTTGTCTATGCCTAGAAAAAAGGATCATGAAGTCTGTTTGTCACCAGCATCTTCCCCTCATCTGTGCAGAAGCATATTCTGGCCCTAATGAGACTCGGGCTATGCACATGCTCACTTGTAGATGAGTCTCTTATCTGAGGCTTCTCTAATGGTTCTGAGTGCTCCCCTCCCCCCACCAGTAGCAGGCTAATGGGGTTAGTATGATGGAGACAAAGAATATAAGGCTCTCTCAGCCAGAGTCTACAGCCCTAGTGACAATGTCAGAAACAGACACTCAGAAAACATTCACAAGTGAAGAATTAATATTGAGCATCCCATAAACCCTCAGTCGCTAATAATGTCGCCTAGCTTCTGACCTCAGCAAGCATAAAACATTCAAGTTCTGTATAGCACAGTAGACTATAGATGTCATGACAGCTTCATCCGTTCCACAACTTGGAATGTGGACATAGAATGACACATGAAACCAGGAGAGCTTAGTCTGCTGTTGACATCATCAACCTCACCCTCTTAAAAAGAACTATCAAAAAGGCCATCTCAATTTCAGAGTTGTGTGGCAGATTCCTTATCTTAAAATATTTTCTTACATAATATATATTATATATAGTATATATATTATATATAATAGAATATGCTGTGATTTTTATGTGACGATGGTCTATAGGTGCTGTAATTCTTTTGCTTTTTAAATGGGTACAGAAACACATTTGGATCTACGAATATCCTGGTTCTTATCTGTAAACATAAAGTGCTGTCAGTTCCAAGAAATCAAATATAAACATGTGACTTAGAATATAGTTGACATATTTTATAGAGATGTTTTAAAATAAAGCCTAAGAATGTCTAGTAGTAGAATTCTCTGGTTTGAAAGCAAGTTTTATGTGTATTTTAATCAAAGTAAACATTGTTTCCTTTGGTAAAATTTTTTATAGATTTAATCAGTTACACTAGGGGTGTTTAATATTCATTTTAATTGTGAATTTGAAATTAATATAGAAGCAAATTTGAATATCACACAACTAAAAATGATACTTCATCGTCTTTAGAATGAGCCCAATTTTCTCCTTCTACAATCACAAACATATCTCAATTTCATCTTAAAGACAAAATTCCCCACAGTGATCTGACCATGCCCAGTGCTTAGTAGACACAGGGCTGATGGAACATGTTTATAATCACAACCCTGTGGAGGTTAGTGCACTGAGGTCCTGCCTTTTCAAGAGTAAAAACAAAAACAAGATGCAGTGAATCCAGCCTATTGTTTATATTTTTAATTCAAAGGTTCATGTATTGATTTCACTTGTCATTGGGATTGATTTGTAGTTGTCAATAATTGTCATTTCTTTCAACCTTTAATTTTTATGTCTGTGTGGGTTTTTTTTTTCTTTTTTGCAGATGAGCCATGTTTGGGCGACAAGTCCATATTCTGTCAAATGGAGGTTCTCGCACGGTACTGCTCCATACCAGGGTATAATAAGTTATGTTGTGAGTCATGTAGCAAGCGCAGTGGCACCCTGCCACCACCATACCTTCAAGAAGCTGCTGAAATCCATAGTGATGCTATCTTTGGTCCTAGTGACCTCCCTAGGTCTCTAGTGATGCCTACACCGTTTCTTCCTTACTACTCAGGAACTCGTGCTGAGAAGAAATCCTTGGGTAGCACATCTTACATGGCAAATACAAATGCATATGCTGCTTTCAGAGCCAGCAGCCAACCTAGCGCTAACTTCCTCCAGGAGAAAATCCAGCAGGCTGGAATAAAGATGCTGGCCTCAGTACCACCACCCTCATCTATAAAGACTGATCACATCCATTCTGCCTCACCCGTGGCTGCTGCCCCCTCCCCTGTTGCCAGTGATTCAATAGGTGCTTCAACCCAAACCAGAACCCCAAAGAAAGATGGAAAGAATATTAGCAAGAGACATCCAGTGAGGTCAGTGACCTCAGAGAGATGAGAAAGTGGACCCATGGGGCTGGAGATGAAAGGGAAACCCTGGGGCAGCCACCCTCCCTGCATGGTGCATACAGCTTGATAAAAAGCAGGACCCTCCACACCAGGTTTACTCTTGCCCTCTGTAAATGGAAGGACAAGAAGTGCTGGTTCACTTTGTAGTTGCTTCCATCTCCTGTTCTGTGTCGACTCGTTCACCAGAATCCATTGGAAGGAAGCGCCAAAGACTGCTCTTGGAAGCAAAGAGCCCAGCTGCAGTGGCCCCTGCCTAGAATCCCAGCATTTGGGAAACTAAGGCAAAAGGATGGCTGCCAGTCCCGGCCTAGCCTGGAATGCCTCTCTCCAAAACACAAAAGAAATGGAAAATAGTTAAATGTGTTGCTTGCTCTCAAAGGAAGGAAAGAGCCCGGAGCCGAAAGTGCATATCAGCTGATTACTCGTCTGTCTTTAAAAAGTTACAGTAGAAAAATATACAAACAGATGCCAGTGGTTTATGCTTCAAGAAAATTTTGGAAATAATTATTAGACTTGCATTCCTATTTATCTATATTAGAAATACTGTATGAGCAAATTTGCAACTGTTGTGTAAATACTGTACATTGCAGAAATCAGTATTTTAAAAAGATGTCCTCAAATGATTGTTTACTATCTTACATTTCTGGATGCTCTAGGGTGCCTGTCATTGAGTATTGCCTTATGTGACATTCCATGAGTTGATTTCAAAGCAACATGTTATGAAGAAGTTGGGATTGCAGCTACTGTCACTGTAAAGAGGGTTTGCCATGTGTTATCTGTTGCCACTGCAGGTGTACAGGTGACCCGTTTTATCTACTGTCTTCCATTCTTACAGCAAAGGGAACAGGACCGGTGTCTTGGTGTGTTTGTGCACACAGGGTGCAGTGGATGAGCTTGTACAAGAAACCCCCACCTTCTTGCCATCAGATCAAAGGGCGTCCTTGAGAGTGTGCATCTCAACGATGCCCTGTGCTAACAGTTGTGCTTGATGCACTGTGATCATCACAGAAGTGTTGTGTGTGCTCTTTCCTGGCTGAGAAAAGTTTCATCAGGCTGGAACTGACACTTGAGTAATTAGTGCTTTGAAAGCAGGTGCAAGGATGTGTCTTTGTCATGGTTGAGATATTTATTTTCTGCATGGTTCATATCTAAATGTTCACAGCCATAGTGCACCTGACTGCAGTGCCATGCTGGTAGTTCTGTCAGAGACCAACGTGCTCACACAAAGCCAGGAATGCCCTCCGGCAACACCCCCGGGAGTGGATGTACAGTACTTGTATATAGGATACAGATCTGAAGATATTTATTTTAAGAGTTGATTTTTTTCCTTGATAGTCTTTTTATGTCTTTAATATTGACACTAATATCGATGACATTTTAGTAAACTAGAGAGACATAATTAGAAGTGTGTGCTGTGTTCTGTACTGGAAGGTCAAATTTAAACTAAGCATACAACCAACTCAAAGAATTAAAAGTGAACAGATTCTTACACAAAAAACAAATCTGGCAGTACTTGATGGAATCCAGGGCCTCACTCAGGCTGAGCAAGCACCCCATCACTGAACTGTATCCACAGACCCATTTTATATTCTCAATGCAGAAGTACCCTAAATTGCCTGGGCAGGTCTTGAACTTATGATCCACCTGCCATCACCCAAGAAGCTAGGATTATAGGTAATGCTTGTGTTACATGTTTGCATTTTTTAAGGAGTTGATACAGAGTTGGTTATTTATTCCCCTTTAAGGACATATAAAATAGTCAGGAATTCAACTAGCTGTTTAATGAAATATTGAATTAGGAATATTTCTAAACCCAGGCAAGGCAGTGCACACCTGGCATTCAGCATTCAAAAGCTGAGGCAAGAGGCTTGCTGTGAGTGTGCAGCCAGTCTGGGCTCTGTAGCAAGACCCTGTCTCAAACAAGACATATTTTAAGTATGTAATGAGTACTTCCTGAATTGCACTTAAAGACAAAAGTGTTATGAGCATGCTTTTGAAGTCATTTTGAAACATGTCTAGAAATTTCAGACTAATATAGAGATGCATTATCCTTTGAAAACACAGACTGAGCAAAGCCTTCTGCATGGTAACCATCATAAATGAACAGCCTAAGCTATGACTCGATACCTCGAAAGTATTGCTGCTACTCCATGCAAGAACTTCAAATGTCAAGTTAGGTAACTTCCTGATAGTTAACAATCTTGAGCCTTAACATGATCTCTTTCTTGAAAACTTCACCAGAACAAAATTCTCTCTCGTTTACTTGGGTGTACACACATCCGGTCCACAGGGAATCTGAAGACAGTAACACACATACACCTCCTGTAAGATGTACATATTCCTTCCACTTTTTACCTATGTGCTTTCTTTTCTACTAAGCTGAAAGTTCCTTTTTATCAAGGTGTACACTACTGATGCTGTTTGTTGTATTGGGAACACATAGCAATAAAAAACGTGAAAGAGGAGGTGTGGCCTGACCTTGCTTTCCTTGCCAGTTTCTCTGGTGCTTATGGGAAACAATAACCTATACTTTCACTGAAGATACTGGAGAGTAGCTCTTGGTTTCACCTCAGGATAAACCACAGTTTTAGAGATGGATGGTGTTGGTCTGCCCCATAAACCATGTAAGAGAACAACAAGAAATGAGAGCATATCTATCTATCTCTAATCTCTCTCTGTATATACATAGAGAGACAGACAGGCCGACAGACAGATGTAGATATAGGTAATATGAAATCTCAGAGTAGCTGAGATGCCCAGTGACTCTGGATCATGACTACCTGAGGGTTGGAAGGGATATCACAGTGGACTCAGTTCAGTGAGAAGGAACAGAACTCTGAGTGGATATGGAATTTTGTTATGTAAAGAGGGGACACTGGAATACCCACGCCAGGTTGAGGTGCAAAGCTGGCCAACTAGAGTTTAAACTCTACCTGCCACCTCATACCTGAGTTTCAGTTTCCTCAGCAATAACACAGACAGCAGAACTCCCACTTTTTCTATGTCGTCACTGCAGGGCCTATCACATGGCATCTCCTAATAGATAGCAAACAGTTGTCTAATTCCTCTCAGCTTCATTGAAGCACAGCCGTCCTCTAGTGTCTGTGGCTACTTTGGAATCAGAATTGCTCAGTCTCACGTCAGATAAACAAGATGGTTTGGGAAACCTAAAGACTTGATATAATGAACTCAGTTAAAATGCTTTCCAGTCATTGATTTTAAAGATTTTTTAGCTGCTTCTCCCCATTTGTCCTTCCCAAACAATGGTCAAACTAAGCTGTGTTATTCCTGAAAAGATGGCTCCACACCATCAGCATGTGTTTCTGATACTTTATTTCATTAAGATACTTTGTAGGATGCCACAAAATTCAGTCTTCTAGACACAATTTGTATTTTCTTTATAAACAAGCCTTCTGAATGTAAGCTGTATAAGGAAAAAAATCAGTATAAGATTGATAAAAATGGTATAAGTCAGAGAATATTACCTGCTAAAGAAGTATTAAAGTAAAAGGGACTACTGAATCCACTTGCAATCACAGAACACAAAAAATCCAATCAGTGTGCACAGGCATTATCAGTTGAAACCATTCTTTCTATTTGATCCCAGATGATTTGAGATAGTTCAGCCAGAGCTGAAGGTGACCTTTAACAACTCGTTATAATATTGCCTATGATACAATGAAAACATAATTCGCTAAAATGAACTTGAGGTCCCTAGATTCCCAGAACAAAGTGCTACAAATTTCTGTAATTTTATCAGGCACTTTACCTAGGAATTGCTTCAGACAACACCAACTAGCATTGTATTAAAACTATTGCTTTAAAGTCAAGTCATGGTGGCACATGCCTTTAATACCAGTGCCTGAGAGGCAGAGGCAGATGGATTTCTGAGTTTGAGACCAGCCTGGTCTACAGAGTGAGTTCCAGGACAACTAGGACAGAAACCCTGTCTCAGAAAACCAAAAGGCCAAACAAAACCTGTTGCTTTGAAACATTAGTATTTTCCAGTCAATTCAGAGTTTCACACAGAGGCATCACTCCCCAAGTGATCCAATTCTACAGTCACTGCTAAATAATAGATGTGCTAATATAACACCTGCATCCCCATGTCCCCACCACCTTTCTCAGCCAGTCTTCTGCCCTAAGCCCATGAAGCTCCAAGAGGCCAATCCCAACAGCTGCTTCTTAACCCAAATCCATCTTGGAGTTAAGGGAATTTACTGGGCTCTGATGCTGTGCTGGTCATGCATATGGGTTCTTAAACAAAAGGAACAAAACAGCAAAAAACCCCCACCCTCAGCTGTGCTTAGGAGCTAACAGGGGAGGAAGAAACAACCACCTTATATGGGCTGACTACACAACATTAAAAAAGGAGTCAGAAGAGCACGGTGCCTTGTTAGGGATCACAATGGTAGCCTGTGACCATTCTTAAAGGATGACACAAATGTATCTGCAATGTCGGGGGAGAAAGATTCAAGGAAGAGCTCCCAGCACAGAGTGCAGACAGCTGCCAAGTTTAGGCTCAGGACTGAAAGAGCTCAGGGGCAGGGAATGATGTAGGAAGAGAGCCAGTCAAAACTAACATAGGATTTGTGGGTCAGTGTGGGGATTTGGCTTTGATTTTGAGTTTCTCCACTGCTCTTCATAGGAATGAACTCAGGATTTGACCATAGAGTGAGTTTGAAACCTTCTAGTGATAACCTGTGCTGTTTCTCTCCTATTAAATTCTCTTAATTAGCTTATCTATATCATGGATCTAGCTCAAATCTAGCTCACTTCTAGAGTGGAGTCAAATGAGCTCATTTACGTGAAATTGTGCAAATGTGCTAAAACAAACATTATAAATCAACATGGTTTCATTGTTACAGCTTATAGTCTATATAATTGATGAGTCAGAAGAGACTATACCACACCCAGGGAAGGCCCATCTGGCTCTGGCTCCTTTTCACAGTAACCCTTGGCTGGCTCCTCTATCTCAAATGATTTCTTGCATAGTTCTCTGTCTACGTGTATAAGCCTCCAGGTCTAAATTAAAGATGCATCTACAAGCATCTCTGATCATCTTAGTTCTGTTGATAACTGTACTGCAGCATATCTCAATGCACAGTTCCCCTCCTTCCTGGAGATGGAGTCCTATTACCTGTGTTCTGTGTTCCTTGCGAGATCCAGCTTCATAGAGGAGTGATCATGCCATTCTTTTTTATTATTATTGTCTTGGTTTTTAAACTCTTGTGCATATTTGGTCAGCTCTCTTGGCCGATTGTTTTCCCTTCTAAAATGTTTCCTGAATCTGTTCCCTTCTGTATGTCATTATTGTCTATGCCTAATTCACCTCAATTTGGGGGAGGTCTGGGTACTGAGTCAGGGAGTGGGTGCAGCAGAGGGGCCTTATGGGTAGTTACAAGTAAGGCACATGCTGGCAGAAGCCTAGAGCTTCTGGGAGCCTGGAGGGTTGCCCTACAACCAATTACAAATACCTTTAACACACCCTAGATAAATCTGTCCCTGAAATCCCACCGAACGTCTGCTTCCTGAAGTCACTGTGCCACCCTGAACCTTTTGCTCCCTCTCTTACAAGGTTCAAATTCTTCAGTAATGAGCTCAATGCACTCTCCTAAGGAAGCCAACTTATTTTGTTTGGGAGTCTTCAATTCTACTACTAGGAGGCTGTTAACAGTTAAGCCTTTAAAGGCGTCATGGTAACTAGTAGTAGCATGCTGACATCAAGGATGCCATTGAATGACAGTTAAAGTATTTAGAAGATAAATTTTTCCTCTTTGTTAATTAAAAGAATGAGAAAATGATAAAGAAATGGTTGGTAAAGCCAATTTCTGGATTCATAGCACAATGAGCAAAAATTCTCAAGAGTGAACACAGTGCCTAGCTACATTTCTGTAGTTCTCCCTAAAGTTCTTGAGACTTATATGAACACTTCTTGGCCTCTGATCCCTTGTTACCATATCATTTCACACAAAAGTGCCACAAAACATTTAAGAAAGACAGTACATCTCTGTGGTGACAGGACTATTAAAGTTTACCATCAAAACTTTATAAAGATCAGAGTGCAATTTTCTCAACTTTTGATACTATTTCCCTTCCAATATGTTAATTTTAGACCATCTCTAAAGGGTCTATAATCTCAGGCACAGATTTGAAATTAGAATTGACATTAAAGACTACACCTAACTCTGAAACCTACAAAAGAGAAACACACATGGATATTGTATTGAGACCTGTCATGGCAGTTCTTGTGTAATTCCCCTGACTCCAGGCTCCTGCTTAACTCTATGGTCTACAGTAACTGTCATTGAAGATAACTGGTGCTGAAATGGTTAAAATCTGCTTGTGTTAATGAACAATAAGTCAAAATATTTAACTCTGCTTAATGTTTGACCTGACTTATCACCTCATTTTGCAGTCCAGCTTTTTAAACCACTTCAGTGGGCATTGTTTGAAACTACAGCCACTGTACGGGCACAGCTTGTAGATGCTGGTGTGATTTCAGTCTGCCACAAAAAAGCAAACAGTGCAAGCAGATGACAAATGAAAGTGGTCATTTCTTAATGCCCGTAAATGTCTGCACAACTCTATTTTGTGTGCAATAGAAGTGTGTCTAAAATAATGTATATATTGCAAATTTATAAAATCCTATCCTTCAAAAATTGCTGAGCTAGGTGTGATAGTGCATGCCTTTAGTCACAGCACTAATGAGGCAGAGGTAGGAAGATCTCTATGTGTTTGCGGCCGTTCTGGTCTACACTGCAAGTTCTAGGACAGTTAAGCTATATAATGAAACTCAGGCTCCATAAATAAAAGATCATCTAGAACTTCAGTGGCTCCTGCCTTGCTATTGATGATTGCTAACTGATACAGGTGGTCATTGAAGAGCAAGATGTTTAAGGATAGAGGAGCAATTTCTTCAAAGAAGAACCACATCTCTTACTAGGGATACCCAAAAACTCAAGTTGACATTTCTTATCCAAAGTACACCCAAAGTATCAATCTCTGATAACAAAAGCATTCACTGTTTTCAAACTTAGCTCATATTTTTTTGATTAAGCAGTTAAAATTTTCTATAATACAGTTCCCTGAAATTAATATATACATATATGATTATGTATTATGTGTATAAAACAAATGTAAAATATATTTTAAAGTTATATCTTAATAGTTTTATATGTAAAATCACACACATGAAAGACAATAGTTGTATCTTGCCAATGAAAACACATGTGGACACTACTATAAAGTGACCACCACCGGAGTTTCATTGTCTTTCTGATTGTACAATAAGAAATAAGATGTGTTTCTGCCCACAGAACCTATAACTCCTCATATAGCACAAGGCTGACCACTTGTTTCTATCCCTTTATTAACAATATTTTGCATGTTAGAAAAATTTAAAGTGATACTACATTGTTATCTGAACTCTTTATGATACAATGTTTTATTTACACTTTGAAAAAAATCTGATAGAATACCAAAAATAATAAAATTATATTATAAGGAAGGTAATAATTTAGATATTATTTTATAATTTAGATATTATCTTTCCCTAAAATTGAAACTCACAACTCTTCATAAGGTTAGAACCCTGAGAGGGAGTCCAGCTTCAGGTGAGATTGGGTCTCCAGCGGGGGACCGCCCGCCCATCACCCTTCCCCCTCCATCTTCGGGGCCGCTCCTGGCTTCCAGAAGAGCCGCCCACACAGGAAAGAGATCAGCCCCTCCAAGACCCCAACCCAGCGAGCCCAGCTTCAGGTGAGATTGGGTCTCCAGCGGGGGACCGCCCACCCATCACCCATCCCCCTCCATCTTTGGGGCCGCTCCTGGCTTCCAGAAGAGCCGCCCACACAGGAAAGAGATCAGCCCCTCCAAGACCCCAACCCAGCGAGCCCAGCTTCAGGAAAGACATCAACCCCTCCAAGACCCAACCCCAGGGAGTCCAGCTTCAGGAAAGAGATCAGCCCCTCCAAGACCCCAACCCCAGCGAGTCCAGCTTCAGCATCCCCAGCTTCAGCTGCAGTAAGGAAGGAGACCAGAGGAGACAGAAAGACCCCACCAGCACCCACTGGAAGAAGAGATGGGAAGAAGACAGAATAAGAGATCACTCAGCAATAGAAACACCAACATGACCCCACCAGAATCCAGGGATCCAACACCAGCAAGACCCGAAAAGCACTACATAGATGAACAAGAGGAGACAGACCTTAAAAATTATCTCATGAAGATGATGGAGACCCTCAAAGAAGAAACAAGGAAATCCCTTAAAGAAATAGAAGAAAAAACAAACAAAAAAATCCATGAAATGGGGGAAAAAAATTCAAGAAATAAACAAATCTCTCGAAGAATCTAAAGAGTACCAAGAAAAAACAACCAAGAAAATTAAGGAAACAGCTCAAACAGTTGAAGGATTGAAAGCTG